TTAAAACATTTATGTGGGCGAAGCTCTAGGGAGAAGAAAAGATTCATTTCTTAAAAATTCCTCAAAAACTTGGGCATTTTTCGTGGCTCGTTAAACATGATAGAATTGTGTCCAGTAACATGAGAGAAACTAGGAACATTACAGATGACCCTAGCAACTGCCATAGGTGTGGAGCTGCCCTGGAAACTACCATGCATTGATAACCGAAAGTCAAACGATCACATGTTTGGCTATCAATGACAATATCAACTTGCCAACCATACCATTTAGACACAATTCATGGTAAGAAGGAAAGAATCCAATAAATGCCAAAGTTTAAGCTAGAGAATAATCACAAAAAGTTGATTGATCGAGTTGTCACAAGGAAAACACATTTTTATCATGCTGGGAATCTGTCAACATAGGGTATCAAAGAAAATAATGCCTCACATAACGTATTGGTGTCGGAGTCGTATTGATACAAGTATGACACAATGAGCTTATTTTTTATTCATAAAAAACCTACTCCAAAAGAGAAACGTTCAGTTTACTCCCCATTAATGGGGTTTGGAGGGGTAGAACTTAGTAAGGACCTAACATTTAGCATTTTTTGTACTAAAGTGGTTGCCATCAAGTAGGAACCCACCACTAGAGCATCCAATCGAAGAAGAAGAAGAAGAAGACAATGACTACAAAGAAGATGAAAAAGACTACAAAGAATGAGTAGAAGAAAAAAAACATAAAAAATAAGTAGAAAAAGACCACCAAGGAGAAGACGACGACTATAAAGAAGATGAAAAAGACCATAAATAAATAAATAAACACAACAAAGAATGAGTAAAAGAAGGCGACGACAAAAAAAGATGATGAAGAAAACTATAAGCGCATGAAGAAGACTACAAAGACAAAAGAAGAAGATGATGACAATAAAAAAGCAGACTACAACTAAGACCACAAAGAACAAGAAGATTGCAAAAAAGAAAAATAAGAAGACAAAAAAGACAAGAAGAATGTAAAGAATAATAGAATGACAAAAAAAAAAAAACAAAGAACAAGAATGAGAACGGGGGTACAAAAAAGAAGGCGACGAAGACGACAACCACAAAGAATACCACAAAGCAGAAGAAAAAAAGGAGAATAAGACGACTATAAAGATTAAGAAGACAACAACGAAGAAGACTACAAAGAAGAAGACCACAAAAAAGAAGAAAATGAAAAGAAGACTACAATGAAAAAGAATTACAACAAAGAAGAAGAAGAAACGACGACCAATAAGATGAAAATGACTACAAAGAAGAAAAATAAGACAACTACGAAGAAAAACACTTCAAAAAATAAGAAAAGTAAGACAAAAACACAAAGAAGATGACTAATAAGATGAAAAAGAAAAAGAAGAAAACTACAAACAAGAAGACTACAAAAAAAAAAAAGAATACAAACAAAAAAAAAAAAAAAGACTACAAATAAGAAGACGAGAAACAAAGACTAACAACAAAAAGAGGACTTACAAAGAAGAAGCGATAAGACAACTAAAAATACAAAGAAGACAAACACAAAATAAGATGAAAAAGACTAGTAAGAAGAAGAAAAAGTCTACCGAGAAGAAAAAAATTACAAAGAAAAAGAAGGTTTCAAAGAAGAAGATTATGAAGAACATGTAGAAGAAGACAACAAAAAAATACAAAAAAAAACTACAAAGAAGAACAACAAAATTACAAAAAAGACGAAGAAAACTACAAAGAAGAATACAACAAAAAAACAAAGAAGTAGAAAACCACAGAGAAAAAGAAGAAAAAAACTACAAAGAAAAAGAAGACAACGATTACAAATAAAACAACAAATAAGAAAAATACTACAAATACGAAGAACAAGAAGTCTATAAAGAAGACAACACAAAGAAGAACAAGAAGACAACCACAAAAAAGAAGATGAAGACGAAGAAGACTAACCCAAAGAAAAAGAAAAAGAAAAAGAATAGTACAATAAAAAACAAATAAAGCTAGAAAGAAGAAAAAAAATACTCCAAATAAAAAGACTATAAAGAAAAAGAAGAAAAGGACTACAAAGAAGAATAAGAATACAAGGAAGAAAGAGGATGAAGAATAAAAAGAAAACTATAAAGAAGAGAAAAAAAAAAAGACTACTAAGGATAAAGAAAAATAAGACTATAAAGAAGAAGAAAGCAATGCAAAGACTAAGAAGACAAAGACAACAAAGAAGAAAAATAATGCAAAAAAGAAGAAAACTACAACGAAAAAAAAAAGCAGAAATGATTAAAAAGAACAAGATGACTACAAAGAAGAAGAAAAAAAAAGACAACGACAACTCCAAAAAATTTGAAGGAAAACAAGAAAACTATAGCGACAAGACGACCATAAAGAAGAAGAATACAAATAAGATTAAGAACACAACAACAAATAAAGACGACGAATACAAAAAATAAGAAGAATACTACAAAAAGGAAGAGAATAATAAGACTGCAATAAAGATGAGGAGAATAAGACTACAAAAACGAAGAAGCATATTGGTTTGACTTGTGAAAGAACGGATAGTTACGGGATGGTTGTTTAAAAGGTGGCTGGCTAGCAAAGAACCCGAAAAAAACTAGTAGAGTTGCACCCTAGGCTATTTTATTTAGTATAGCCACAGAGACTACTTGCACCAAGGCCTCCTTTATGAGTAAGCTCATTTAGAAAGCGTAAAACAACCTAGCTACTTTCTTTATTGAAAGATTTTGGCATGATTGAGAATTCTTCAACTGATTAGCTATTTTTCCAGTGACTAAAGTGTTGGTCGCCATTGCCTAAATAATGTTTGGCTCTTCTTTATAGTTTTGTTCTTCTTATTCCTCTTTTTCTTCTTTGTAGTCTTCAACTTCTATTTCTTCTACTTTTTCTTGTATTTCATTTTCTTGGTGGCCTTCCTCTTCTTTAGAGTCATGTTATTATTATTATTATTCTTGTTCTTTTTAGTCTTTGTATTTGAATCTTTCTTCTTCAACTTTGTCGTTTTGTTCATTTTTGTAGTCCTCGTATTTGTTGTCTTCTCCTCCTTTAGGGTCTTCTTTCTAGTCATCGTTTTCCTCTTTCTTCTTTGTCGTCTTATTCTTCTTCGTCTTTTTAGTCTTCTTCTTTTGTTCTTCTCATATTTTTCTTCTTTTTCTTATTTGTAATATTTTTCTTCTCAATAGTCTCTTTCTTCTTCTTTGTAATTTTTTTTCGTAGTAGTCTACTTCTTCTCATTCTTCTTTGTAGTATGTTTTTTTTTGTTGTGTTGTTCTTTCTTATTTATACTCTTCTAATTCTTTTTTGCATTCCACTCTTTCTTCTTCATCTCTTCTTTTTCTTATTCTTTGTAGTCGCATTCTTCTTCTTCTTCTTTTTGTAGTGTTCTTCTTCGTGTTCTTTCTCTCCTTCTTTGCATTCTTTTTCTTCTTCTTCTTCTTCTTTTTATTGTTCATTTATACAGTCTTCTTTTTCTTGTTTGTAGTCTTCTTCTTCGTTGAAGTTTGCTTCTTTTTTGTATTCACCTTCTTTTTCTTTTTCTACTTCTAGTCTTTTTCTTATTTGTAGTCCGCTTCTTTACATTCCTTTCTTCTTCTTCATCTTCTACTTCTTTGTAATCTTCCGCTTCTTCTTTATTCTTTGTAGTCTCCTTTTTGTAGTTTTTTTCTTTGTAGTATTCTTCTTCTGCTTCTTTTTTATAGTCTTCCTTTTTTTCTTCTCTTTGTACTCTTCTCCTTGTTCTTTGTGGTCTTCTTTTTTTCTTCTTCTTCTTCCTATTTGTAGTCTTCATTGTCGTCGTCTTCTTCTGTTTCTTCTTTGTAGAGTTCCTCATCTTTGTTTTCTTCTTTTCTTGCTTTATAATTTTCTTCTTCTTTGTAGTCATCTCTTTTCTTTGTAGTCGTCTTCTTCTTCTTTGTAGTAGTCTTATTCTTCTTTGTAGTCTTCTTATTCTTCTTTGTAGTCTTCGTCTTCTTTTTCTTTTTTGCAATATTGTATTTCTTCTTTGTAGCATTCTTATTTTTATTTGTAGCCTTCTTCTTTCTTTTATTTTTTTGGTTGTGGTCTTCTTCTTTGTTGTAGTCTTCTTCTTTCTTTCTTCTTCTTCTTCTTGACAATAACTCAACGACTTGAAATTGAGTCGGAGAAGACACTGAGAACTCGGTCAAGTCATGCAAGACTCTTGATTTATAAGTCGTGTAACGATATCGCCTCAAAAGGTGCTGAGTCGAATACGACTCGAACATATTTCGGTATTGACCGATCCTTTGAACCTCATTCTTATTCTTTTTTTTTTTTTATTGTAGACTTCAAATTAGAAGAAGACTCCAAATTAGTAAAAGTAGAAGAGGACTACAAATTAGAAGAAGAACAAGAACCAAACTACAAATAAGAAGATGAAGAAAGAGAAGACTACAAAGAAGATGAAAAAAAGACTACAAATAAAGAAGAAGGAAACACTTCAAGAATACAATGAAAACAACAAAGAATAAAGAAATCACTTGAAGACTACAAAGAAGAACTAACATCAAAACATGCAAAAAACAGATTATAGGGAGTTTTGTCCAATTCTAAGGCGTTTGATAGAACACAATGTAGAACAAGTGTTGGTTGCCAAACTTGATTTCATATAATGTCATGTATCTGGGAGTATCAAACATAGGTTCTTGCAAGTAGGCCCCGTAGCTCTTGAATTAGAAGTTTTGTTTAGAATTACCATTGTAGAAAGAGCAAAAACTAAATTCACAAACAAGAAAGTGACATTTAAGATATTTGAAAAATAAAATAAAGAATAAAATAAAATCACAATTTATAACGTTAATGGGCAAAAGTGTAACATGATCTAAAAGAAGTTATCCATAAAATTCACATTGTTGTAATTTATATGTTGTTCAACATCAACCATGTAGAATATCATGTATATAAAACAACCAACAAAATAAGTAGGAGACATCTCATAATATTTACATTTAACTTGACAATTGATAATGTGAAATATATTTACTAGCATATGCTTACCCTCTCAGCAAAATGAACAACATTTTCCTTCTGATTTTCAAGGGGTGAAGCTGTAAGAAGATAGTCTATCTGCCCAAATACATGATAAATCCAAAATGGATACAAACATAGTGTAATATCAAGATCTTCAAATCAAATGGGCATGCTCGTAATATGTATGTTGACTTACGTCTATATTGGTGCATAATTATGTACTTCATCGTCCATTAAAGAAATTATTTTTGGTTTCTAGTCAGCGGATATACTCATTATAGGATGTAAAAACCATTGTGTGTGCCCCCATAATTTTGTTGGAGCAACGCAATTTATGAAGGAGCATACATGATCACCGCTGATCCAAAGCAGATTTCCGCTGATCCAAAACAGATTTTGACTTGCATGATCTCCATCCCAATTGGGAAAATTTTCCTTTCCCAATCCAAAACCTAATTCTCCCACTTCAATGATACACTTTAAGCATGGCATATTGGAGAACATGTCAAATATCATTTGCAGAATAAATTGAGAAACTTTTACTTCTCTAAAAACATTTCTATGTTAAAAGCTTCTTAATTTTACTTTTATCTTATAACAAAATGTACACATTAATATGTGAAAACACACACATACACACTAATATGTCAAAACACACAAATGTGCTAATATGCAAAAAAACAAACACGCTAGTACACTAAAGCACACACATACACACAATGTTAAACACACTAATACACCAAAAAAGGCACACACACTTTTATCTACCAAAACACTATATACACCCAAAAAAAAAAAAAAGGCACATATACACACTACTACATCAAGAAAACACATACATCCTCACTAATGTATCAAAGCACACACACATACACCAAAAACATGCACTCACACGCTAGTACATTGTAGACACATTAATACACAAAAACAAGCATACATTATACATCAAAACACTCATACTAATACATCAAACATATAATCACACTTACAAATCCACCAAAACACACACACACACATACACTCCTACACGCCGAACACACACTAATACACTAAAACGAACACACCACACACACTACTACGCCTAGAAAACACACACATTTATAATATAAAACATGAAAATTTTCAATAAGTTCATCTGACGGTCTTAAATAAACTCATCCAACAGTCATTAACATCCCCCACAAAATCATCCACATTGTACTGTGCCTTCACGCACAGGTCTCAAATAAACTCATACACAAAAAACACACTCTAATATTAAAAAAAAATAGATACTAATACACCAAAACACATGCACACATATTCTAATACACCAAAACATACATACACCAAAATACATGTAATAATACTTCAAAAAACACACATTATACAAAGAAAAACATAGTAATATACCAAAAAAAATTTATAGTAATACACCAAAAAAAAAAAAATATATATATATATATATATATATATAAGTACACTTGTACAACAAAATCCACATACACTAATACATCAAACTCACACATTAATACACAAATACTCATACACCAAAAAATATATATAATAATATAGTAGACACATTAATATACCAAAAAACACGCTAATTTACCAAAAAAGACACGTATACTTTTAGACCATAACACACGCATACACTATTATATTATGTCAAACACAGACACAAGCACCCACTAATACACAAAAATGCGCACACTAATACACGTATATTGGTGTGGTAATGGGTGCGTGTTTATGTGTATGTTTTGATGTATTAGTGTGTGTCTGTGTATTTTAGTGTATCTGTGAATGTATGTTTGTGTTTGTGTGTGTTTGTTTGGGTGTATTATTATGTGTATAATTGCTTATCTATGGGTATAGTTGATTATACCTTAGTAGAGTCTCATCTTATATCAACTATGTGTTTGACCAGTGTGTTTGCAACAAAGCTATACATTAAGCCACATTTAGCATGATGGAGCGTTGAAAGTTCAGATAATGTTTTTTTACTTTTAATATGATAAGATTAACCATGAGCCCATAACCCATCAATTAAAATCTTTGTTTTATGTTCATTTTGCTAACATTCTTTTTATTTCTTTTACTTGTTTCAAATTTTTTGAATTTTTTTTTTTTCAATTCTTCATTTAAACTTGTTACATTAAAGATTTTACTATTCGTTGTTTCACTCTCCGTTAAACGAATTAATATATAATGCTTAAATATTCAATTGAACTTCTTACTACATTCTGTAATCACTAATATTTTATTTATCCAAAACTTGGAGGGCATCCAACCTATACAAGAACTATATTAAGATCAAACACCAAAATTTCTACTCTTCAAGAAAATCGAAGTGATTGGCTATATAGGACAAAGTCCATTGAAGTCAAATGAAAAAAGAAAGCAAAATGTCTTTACTTTTTTGTAAAGAATATGGTGAGTTTTTGTCATATTAATATAAATTTACATACAAAATTATGATGTAGTAATGAGAGAGGAGAAGTGAGACCACTTGAATGGAAACACTCCCAGTCCAAACTTTGTTTTGAGTCAACTGTCAAATCGGTAAAAAAAAACACATCAAAAACGACAGAAAAATTGCCTCTTGTACAACCAAGTTTCAAATTCAAAAGAGCTTGAATTTAATCAGATACCAAGATAGACTTAACTGGTTTAAGAGATAAAATAATGTTATGAAATATTCAACCAAGAAGCCAAGAGAACAAATATGTCTTATTCATCAATTTTCTCAAAAAGCACCCTATTGTTCATATTCGTTGTAATATCATTTCAATTTTCCCACCAAATTACAAAATAATATGCAAAATCCTAGAGAGAGGGAGAAGAAATTGACAACACCTTACAAGCAAGTTCGCCCGAAGCATCGGCCAAGGAAAACTGTGACTACCTTATTCTCCTTCTCCCCATTATGTCTTGGAATATTAAAATTGACCAAGCTAATTTCAAAACCATTCCAGAATTGTCCCTTCCCACAGAAGGTTAAACGATGATAAAATGAACATATAATAACACAAAGTACAATTTCTTCTCTAAAATAAAAGGACTAAGAAATTCCAAACCAATTTTTTCTAAAATGTCCACGGTGGTGGAGTAAAAAAAAAATTTCTTAGATGGGCACTCTAATACGTTTAATCCTAATCGATAAAAAAATGACACATTTATACTATTTATTTCATCAATGATCCTTAAAAATTTTATGCATATTTGTGCACAACAAAAACAAGATTAATTATATGTTTTTATTGAAAATGAGGTTAATTGTAGTTAGTTACGACTAACCTGATAAATTTTCATTATTTGATAACATTGCCTAATGACTTCATTATTAATAACTAGTAAAATTTATGTCAAAATCACATTTGTGTACACTAAATGATATACCATGTACCTTTTTATCTTGAAATTTTGTGCGCAAGATCACAAATCTCAATTAGTTTTTAAACTCAATGCTAAAGTGCACATCAATAATAAAATTGCCAAGTTGATCAAAAGATTTTAAAATGAACCCAATATGTCCAAACTAATCCAAATACGTCCGAAGCGTGTCCACTGTTAACCATTTAGGTATGTGTGTACTAACTGATATGATAAAAAAAGAGTGATACTATAGAGACCTAATCAAAGACTTGATTCAATACAACAGTTGGATTAATTGCGAGTTCCAATGTTTGATGGAGTTCACTTCTAATCCAATGGCTATATTGTATTAAGTTCCCAAATTAGATCCCACTAAAATTTTCAAGATAATAGGATGAACATAGTTAGATATACTTCATAAAATATAATACGTTATGCAAGAATCAAAATATCGTTTCAAAACGGTCGAAACGTCCGAAACGTTTCCATTTTCAAGGAGACCGAAACGAAACAGTGACAGAATCAAAATTCTGATATTTCGAGGTATTCCATAATATTTTTAAATGTATTATAATATTTCAATACATTTGCACAATTATTTTGGAATGTTTCAAGATATTTTGATATATTTCCATCAATGTTTTAAAAAATAATTCTAAAATTTTTTATTTTTTTCATTATGTTTCCGAAACGGGTCGAAACGTTTTCGAAACATTTCCGTTTCGTAGGTGACCAAAACAATGCACCGAAACGATATTTTGATCCTTGACGTAATGGTAAAGCAAAAGAATTGAGGGTGGGCACACATGGTCCTTGAGTGGTTCCAGCACTGTGCCAGACTAAGGTAACATACCTGCACAAGCCACTAGCATTCAAAATTCACGAGGCTGTCATTGTTTATAGTAAAAAATCTATTTCAAATTTCCATTATCACAGCCAATAATTGAAGAAAAAAAATTTGCAGCTTGGCTATTTCCAAAACTATGCAGAGATATGAACTTTTTTGTCAAACCATCAAATGACAGCAAAAAGTAGCTTAAATTAAAAACCCAAAAAATTCAAGAGCAAAGAACTAAAAGTATGTCCAAGAAAGATAGATCAAAGTACCTACGTGTAGAAGCCTTTCAGTCCTCCATTTGGCGTTCCCTGAGAAGCAACATTCAAAATCCAACGCCAATTGGAAGACTCTCACCAAATTCCACCACCATAATCTCATGCTCTCCAATAGTTCCTCAAATGCCTATTAAAATAAATACATCAATTTTTAAAAAGCATTCACTTTTTGTTCACTACAGAAAAATCAACGAAATTCAGAATCGTATGCCAATGGAAATATGTTCTACAAACATGGAATCAACTGCTAGTTCAGTGACATTCAGGAATATGAATTTAATATCAACAAGGATGTAAGTGAACACTCTGGGAAAATACAAAATGAAGTATATGAACACTTGAGCAGAGCAACAGAAGCTCTAGAATTGTTAGCGTGCTTTTATTTTAGCTTTTTCCAACTTTATATCCTGTTATCTCACAACCATTAGAACTATCCATATTCTAAAAAATAAACATTACAGATATATGAAAACTTCTGGGTTTTCTTAGTTCACTGAATTTTATGAATAATAAGAAGTAATAATATAGATGACTGTAAAGAATTATTTAAAGGCTCAAATAAGACTCCACTTGTCTAAGTCACCACAAGCCAGCCATAAGGTGGCTAATTGCCAACACTTGGCTAGTGGACAAGAGCCATTACCCCCTGTCATCATATGGAGTGAAGAAGCATCAATCATCACTCTACTGAAACTGATTTAAAGCAACTTACAAACACCACCAAAAGTTTTGCTTATTTTCTTTATCCTGATATTGGGAGCTTAAATATATGTTTTCTATAGTCTAACTATGGAAAGTTTAACGTCTTTTGAGATAACTATACAGCCTAACTTTGACATATCTTTATTAAGACAAACAGTTCCAGGGAAATTAAATCTATCATGAGGAATATATCACAGAAAACCTAAATTAAGCCAATCATAACATTGCATATTCAGAAATAGAAAAAGAGGTTGTAAAGTATATTATCGAAAACCTATATTAAGTCAATGATAAGACCATATGTTTTGACTTGGAAACAAGAAGCTTTATAATTATTGAGAGCCATAGTCTAATAACTTTACCTAGTCATCTTGAACAGCTACAACACCTGTAACCAGAGCAATCTGAGCTGGTAGCTATAATAAATAACTTAAAAAACTATGGATAATTCTCGCATTATGCAATCAAATTAGTACTATTCTTTTTTTTTTTCCCAGGGGCGGAGATGGTGAATGAAAAGAGGAGGATAGGTAAATAAATGGGTTGTGGAGCAGAAGAAGAAGATGAAAGATCAACCTCAAAGGTAACAATAATAAATTTAAGTTGAAAAGATATATTCTCATTACTATGAATTACTTCTAAGAGATAACATACCCCAATTTCATATAACCACGAGCCATGTTCGGGTCCTCGAAATGATGGTGATTCTTGGATATGCATATCCTCGAGGTCATCGCCAATCGAAACAGATTTCTAACCCTAACTGTGCCTCTACCACATGTATCTACCATCAAAGTGTGTCCTGTAAGATATAATCACAAACCGGATACAACAAAAAACCAACAAACGTGAACTAAATTTTTTGAGAACTTTGCCTCTAATTCTCATATTTATAGAATCACTCATAATCTTGAAACCAGGCATACAATATTTTTCCTAATGTTAAAGAAAATTCAAATGCCTACCACTACTATGACATGTTCCACTTCGAGCAAGAGTTGTACTACTCCTTGTGGAACAGCCCTTGAAACAGTCTGCGAACAATAGGTAATTAAACAATTTCAGGGAATGGTATGCATGTTACCTGATCAGCAGAACCAAGCTTCGTCATAAGGGAATCTTAGGAGCATTGATGTTCTTGTGGAGATCGTCTTTCACAAACCTACAAGAATACATCATACAAAGATAGCGATCATGAGAAAGGAAGTACTCCATAGTTCAAAAAAGTGCAGTTGTACATCAAGTTCTTTGGCAACTTGCTACTCATACCCAATGATTTTGCCGACAGCAAGGATGAGTAGTGATGGTATCGCTACTGAATTCTTCATGCCCTTCTGTTGAGTTAAATGAGAATGAGAAGAGGAAAACGCTACACACTAAGGGAAGGGAAGAATTGGCTGGTTTAAGTGGGCACCTGAAACTATTGATTTACTAAAGGATCTTATGGTCAATACAATATATGGTAGAGACATTGTGGTCAATCAAAAGCTTTTCTTGTATCTTGACATTTTATAGTAATATAGATATTGATATAGATTAATTACACATTATGTTTTTGTACAAATTTAATAGTAATTTATCTTATCTAAATTTGTTCACGTACAATGCACATGTTGCATTACTAGTACATATATCTATACCTATATATCTACATTCAAGAGATTGTAACGAATATATCCACAATCAAGAGATTCCTCATCCAAAAAGAAAAAAAATGATTTTAATATGCAAGGAATCAGTTATTCTGCCTACTTAAAAATACAAAAAATATGATTATAAAATGAATAAATATTGGTTATGAAATTAAGTGAAAGTGTAATTAAAGTTTTCACAAGGAAACTCTATAATCTAGGAAGCGCGGATACAGACACGAGTGTCGTATCTGAGATACGATACGGACATGGGAATACGACAAAATTCCAAAATATAGGACACGGGTTCAGCAAGTATACGGCTAATTAAAATAATATAATATATTTTTATATATATAATAACATTTATAATAAAATTGAGTAATTAATTAATATTTTATAATTGAACAAATGAGCTAATATTAAATTTGATTAGTGGGCTAATATGTTATGGACAGTGGGCTAAACCAAATTGGGTAGTGGGTGACAACTAATAAGGTATGATTGTAATTTAACATAAAATATAACGAGTCCAAGGGTTATTTGTAAATTATTTTAACAATTAGGGCAAAGAAAAAAATAAAATAAAATAATAGGAGTTAAAATGTAAATTAAGACGAGCAAAAAAAAAAATAAAAAGAAAAAGGTAGTCCTAATTGCTTTTCAGCAACAACGATAAGTCATGAAGTCTGGACGATGACTTTCCAGAGAACTCAGTCGGCGTAAGACAGAGAAAGTGGTTGAAGAGATACCTAAAGATGAAGACGACATACGTACTCAAAGAGGAGGAGATCTGTGGTTGTGGCTATAGCTGATCAAGTACGTTATCTTCTTCCCCCCCCCCCTTTTTTTCTGATTTCAAATCCATGGTTGTGGTCGTATTCCTCCGTATCACCCCCGTATCCAACCCATATCTGTCCATAACAAATACTTCTTCACTATTCAGGACACTTGTGGAAGTATCAAACACGTGTCCAGCCGTGTCCCACACATATCCGTGTCGGACCCGCGTCCGACACCGCCATGTCGACCCCCTGAGGAGTATATGTGCTTCTTAGTCTGTAATGCTTAATGTAAAATACAAGCACAAGGAAATTAAATATACTATGAAGAAGACAAAAGTACAAGAATTAGGTAAGGAAATTTAGAAGGAAAGGTTCGGGTTTATATGAAGGACCAAATGGCTCATCCAAGAAATCAAACTTTATGTCAAATAAATGCATATATCAAGTAAACACTCACACACAGTTAAGTGTGAGTAATGGATAATGTGGTGAGATTGATAGTCTACAACAGAGAGTGGGAAGGGGCATGGAGATAGTAGTTTTTGTTGTTTTTTTTTTTTGGTTTGGGGGGGAGGGGAGAGAGAGAGAGTTATGGCATACCTCCACGAAATTGCGAAATCGTGTGAACATTCTAAACACTTGCTTTGCCAGAGTAATATGACCCCTAAACAACATAACATATGATATCAAAAACACAACAAGATACCTTCTAAGCATGGTTCTGAATAACGGTAACGGACATCGTAACGATAACTGTAACGTCGTAACAGACGCGGGGTGAAATGAGCGTTACGTAACGGTAACGAAAACCGAATGCGTGAATTTTTTTTTTCAACTCACAACCTCCTATAAAATATGAATATTTACATATTTCAATTTAAAATCATGCAAATATGAGTAATACATGTTTTATAGGAGGTTATGAGTCTAGACTAATATTTAATATTTATAACATAATAATAATTTTTTTTCGTAGGTCTTGACACGAACATGACAAGATTAACATTCTTAATTGTGATACCCATGTAAACTATATTAAAATAATTAATAAACTTTATTAAAAAATTTTAATTAAACACATGTTTTATTTAATCAAAAATATATCTCAAATACAATATTATAATATTTAAATAGACAAAACAATACTACATTTTTAAAAAGTAAAAAAAAAAAAAAAAAAAGGAGAAAGAGTGACTGAAGTCTAGAGGTAAGTAGATCTTAGAAAGTCAAAAAAAAAAAAAATACGGTGACTTATTTGCATAGTTAAGTAGAACTTAAAAAAGTAAAACAAAAAAAAAAAAAAGAGTCGGTGGTTGTTTTGCACAGATAAGTGGACACCACAGTGACCACACATATTATATCCTCAAAGCCAAAAAAAAAAAAAGGGAAGAAAAAGAGAGAGGCGGTGGGTGGCTGACTGAAGTGTTTACCCAAATAAGTGAGAAATTCGAATGAAGCGATGCAATGAAGATCCACTGGTCTTCAATTGTCCTAAGCAAGCAACGACCACACCAAGAAGCAACCAAACGGAGGAGAGCTCAGATCTGATAACTGGTCCAGCAGCCACAGTTCGAGTTTAACTCTTTCAAGCAAAGGAGGGAAAACCACCTCAAGAAAATAGATATGAATTTATAGGTGCGTTTTTAAGTGATTATTTGAAAGATTTTTTAGATCTAAACCATGTATTTGAGATTTGAATGAATGAAGATAGATGGGAGAAGGAGGTTGAATTTGGGTTTCAGATGAAATCAATTTTTGGGGGCTGAACTTTGAGTTTTATACTCAAATTATTATTTTCTTTTTTGATCGTAACGGGTCAAAACGGTCGTTACGTCCGTTACGTGGGCCGTTACATCGGCGTTACGGAGCCATAACGGCCGTTACGTCTGTGAAATTCATTCTTTCCGTTATATCAGACCGTAACAGAATCAGTACCTGCCGTTACTGTTACGTAACGGCCGTTACGGCCAATTTTCAAAACCCTGCTTCTAAGGACAACACTAAATGAACTTTCACTAAAAAGAGAAGTCATACTCACACCAGGACTCTGATCGAAGTGCAGATAGGTATAGCAATTAATCACTGGCTGGATAGGATAATGTGGGATAAATGCACCAGGTTGAAATGAGGTAATGGCTCTCCATTGGTTGTAGTTTCCTCAAGGAAATCTATTACTGAAGCCTTCCCACTGTATTCAGATCTTCAAAAGCACATTTTTGTGTCAAATAGCTTAGATATTGATAAAACTTGATATTTTGGGAAAAGAATATTCATTAAAAGTACAGTTGAAAACCATTGATTTTAATTTCTTTAGTTTTGGAAGAAGAGCCTGAAATGATAATTTCAAGGTCAAACAAACTAACAGATGACTACACTTAACAATGTTTTGCCCCGTACCAACAACTAGAAGAGATCTTGGCAAATTGCTAGATGCAAATTCAAACCATCTAGTGTGTTTTGTTATTAATGGCAACCAAAAAATTGAACACACACCCCATGGAGAATTTAGCAATTTACAAATTGCAAACCATTCTATTTGACACCGTCCAAATAAGTCCATGGTAAAATGAAAGGAATCAAACAAACATGAACTTTTGATCTATAGAACAACCACAAAAGTGGATTGTATGAGTTGTCATACTTTTTTTTTTTTTTTTTTGGGGGGGGGGGGGGGTGTTGGGGATATCTATCAACATAGGGTATCAAAAGGAATAATTTCTCATATACCATTCTTGTGGTGGGGCTGCATTGACACAAATACGACTTCATGAGACTATTGCTACACAATTAAAAACCTATTACAAAAAGGAAATATCCAGTTTAGTCCTCATTAATACTGTACAAGCTATACAAAATATAAAAGATAAAAAATAGAACCATTGTCTTCTTTTCTTCCGGTCATGGCACCAATCCCACTTTAGTAATTAGTAAGGAACTTGTACTCAAAAAATACAGCTCAGCAAATAAAGACAACGGCATATGCTATTAGGCTTGCTAAACTAACTCACCATCCTGACTAATCAAGAGAATTCATCGAAAGATAATCAAAAGAACTAATCGCAAAGATAGAAAATTTCACTTATCGGGGAAAAAAAAGACAGATAATCAAAAGAATTAATATGTTTTTGACTTTGTTGTTAGTGTTTGCCAAGTCCCTTTTTATTTTTCTCTTCACTTCTTTCTTTCATTTTCCTCGGTATAATGTACAAACCATTAAATTATATATCTCAACTTGGTGAGGCCTGAGCCCCCTACCTTCCACCTAGAAACTTCTTCTTGATACCATAAGATTACAAGGCTCATAGTGAGTAGGTGGGCAGTTGGTTCTGTTAGTTGTGCCAAGTTTTTCCATTGATGAACATTACTAGTTTAGCCTATAGCAACATATAGCTGTTTTAGAGTGTCCATTTGCATGACCTAGAAATATCCTAGGCACTGTCCTTCGATTCACTGCCCATGTTTTCCCTGGGAGTTTAACTTAATTTTATTTTGTAGTGTAGAAAATATGATATCTAGGTTTCTTGTAATAATATTCAACAAAGATATCCCCTCACTAGATATTGAAAAGAATAAAGGTCAGGTGCCGGCAATATTAAGTCTTCTAAGACTGCCCCAATTATTCTTTATTTTGTTGTTTTTAAGCAATTGCTGAATCACTGGGCTATTGTGCAAATCTATCGACTCACTAACACGGAAAAATTATGTAACTTCCATTTTTATCCAATATATCGTTTTAAAAGATCACGATTTTCAGCTTTGGTGGTGTGCTTTGGAACCTATGTGTTACTAAATCTTCAATGAAAACCAATTGAAAATTATAGAGACAGTCCTACAAGCAAAACAAAGTGAAATAGGCATGACATATTACGCAAGAATTGTTCACCTGTTTGGACTCGGATGCTTTTTCAAAAAGCATTGTGTCTCCATATGAATGGGATGTCTATACAACATTGAAACATGGCTAGTCTGTGTTTGTCCACGTGCATGAACCAATAACCAAAATGATAAATAACTATATTACACAACACCTAAATTTGGAGCAATGCCACCAATAATCATGTCAACATAAAATCAAACCCTCTCCATTCCAGTTGCAATTGCAAATATTAAGCAGAGGTCTAGAGAAAGGAACCACAAAAGCATGCAAAAATTAAGGGCCTGTTTGGTTTGCGTTTCAAAAACTAGTATCCAAAAACAGTTTTTGAGGAGAGTTTTAAGAAAATAGATTTGATATTTTTTGAGATAAAAAACTTGTTTGGTTAAATGATTTCAAAAACAATTTTACAATACAGAAAATAGTAAAACCTGTTTGGACAACCTAAATATATGTTTAAATAGTAAGTCAAACATTAATAAAAAAAATATAAGAAAGTTACTTTTAGATTGATAATTTCATAAAAAAAATTCAATAAATCAAACTTTAAAATATATAATATGTATTATATATATAATATTATATATATAATATTATATTATAATATAATATAATATACATATATAATATATAATATAATATTATATTATATCTTATCTAATATAATATAATATAATATATTATAATAATATATATTATATATAATGTAGATGTATATTAGATTATAATATCTATTATATATTAATATTATATTATATTAAATTATATATATTATATATAATGTAGATGTATATTATATTATAATATCTATTATATAATATTTATATATTATATTATAATATATATTATATATTACTATTATATTATATTAAACTATATATATTATATATTATGAGAGAAAAGAAGAAGTAAAAAAAAGGAGGATATAAATTTGCTACTAAGAAGACTCAAGGGGCAGACCTCATTAAAGTCCAAAATTGTTCTCCTTATTTTAAAAATTTTCAAAGAAAACCCTGAAAACAATCTAGACTTATTTTCTGTTTTTTTGACTCAAATCTCATTTTTTCTCAAAATTTTGAGAACAAAAATACTGAACAACAGGTTTTTGGTGTTTTTGAAATTTTGAGAACAAAAAATTGTTTCCGAGATGATAACCAAACATGCACTAAAATTTTAGTAAACTGAATGAGTGGTGATGGGGAGTTTCGTCCAATTCTAAAGCATTTGATAGAACATGAATTAGAACAAGGACTGTTGCTTATGAATCTGTGCCAAACTTAATTTCATATCATCATGTCATGCATCTGGGATAAATTATCAAACCAAGGTTTTAGTAAGCACATGCCTATGGAGCTCTTGAATTACAAGTTTTGGTAAGCATTACAAACCTAAATGCACAAACAAGAAAGTAAGAATTTAGCTATTTGTGCATGGGTACCATGAAAATTGAAAAAGGCCATAATTTACAACATGGATGGGCACAAGTGTCACATGATTTGAATAAAGTCATCCATACGACACATTCATACCAAGGAAATTTATAATGTTTCTCAGGCATCAACCATGTAAAACATCATGCATATATAACCAAGAACAATATCAATAAGTCACATCAAGTAAAATTTACATTAAACATGACAATATATATACATTGTATAATCCACTTACATACCAAACTTGGAGTGTCTGATATTTGATCATTAATTTTAACAGAAAAGTAAGAATTACATGTTAACCTATGAAGTACATTTTTTAAGTATAGGAAGTTAAAGAGGCTATTGCATAATGCAGTGGTAAAAAGGATGGACTAACAATCATGAAAATCAAAGATCAAGGATACATCTTTATATCTGTTTCACCTCAATAGAACCTACTAAAAAAAACAGACAGTAGGAGCCATTAGGAAAGCTATGTTCAATTTTTTTTGCTACATGGACATTCAGGCCATATGCTGCCAATGCAGGTCAAACCAAAGCATAGGCTAACAACCAAAAGCCTGATTTGTAAAGTGGGGGCGTAAAAAATGCGACCCCCAGATTAGTAAACCTAGGCGGAAGGCCGGGTGCACTGATCTACCCCTTTGCCCCTTGGGGTTGTTATGGCAAACTGATAAGTTTGCAATTTATCCTAAAATAAACCCAGAATTTATTGAGATCATAAAAACCCAAGTAACAGACAGTAACCTAAAAAGCATAATTAAAATGGTAAGATGGGTATATTTAAATAATTTGTTTTCACTAGCCTAAGTGAAATGTTAGACATGTAGCTGGGCTGATATTAACATTTTGCTTCTAATTATCTACAAGTATTATATATTCACAAGGAATGCCTTTTATACAAAACAGGTTTCACGAGGATGTGGCACTTACCTCGCCAAGCAATTCCTGACAAACAGCTGCCTGGTTGCTTCTCCTGTGAAAAAGAGGCCCCCATGGCCTATCTGAATAGCTAGACCTTCCAGCTTTGCATATATTCTTCCCCTTTCAATAAGTCTACAACCAACACATATATAGCAAGTTAACCGGAAGGCATAGAAGACACATTTTAAGAAGACTAGAGAAACTAGATAATAACGTGCAATACTCACATTGGCAAGTCATATAGGCTGACGGTATTGTCATTACATGAGCAAAGCAGAATAGGCTTTGGCATCAGCATGGTCTATCCCACAAAAAGTGGAAGAACACCTTCATAAGTACAACCTGTGATAAACATAATATAGTTTGCAAAAATATATAGGAAAAAGATAGAGTTGAAGTACTTACATGCTCTTCATTATGTTCATATACTACTTCCAAGTTCCCACTTTCAGTTGCAGCCCAAACCTTAATTGTACTGTCCAGGGGCCCAGATAACAAGAAGCTATCCCAGTAAAGGACCGACATCACAACATCAGCATGACCATTAAGTATCTGGATACACTGCAAAGTTTGGAGGTCCCATACCTAAAGAAAGAAAAAATACATTGATATATAATGCTTTGCCAAATTGAGAACTTAAACATACTCGACAACCGGAGAAATGTGATATTTAGAAGTCAATTTGTAAACTACCAAATTAAGAAGCACAAACAACGATATTCTTGACTAGTCAGATTCATGCACAAAAGAATGTAGAACACACTAGATTAGAGGCAATAAATTAGGTTGAAGGTTGTCTCACACATTCTCTCAACAGATTGAACGCATATTAGCTGGAAAAAAATCCGAACAACTGCAAGATACTCTCATTGTCTTGTCCATGGAACCCAAGCAGAGCCTATTGGCTCCAACAAGGAGTGAAAGCACAGCACGGGTGTAACCCTTCGGCAATGCAGCCAGTTTAGGACAACTAGTTACAAAACTGGATTTCCAGGCTAGTATAATGTCATCCTGCAGCCACGAAGGTGTTAAAAATAAGTAAGTGCCTAAATACTCCAAGTTTTTTAGCAAATAAACAAGACATGAAGCAATTCTAGAGTCCAGAAAACAGTTACGTATGTCGCAACAAAAAGCAAGTCATTATCCACAAACCAACGCATAAACTTGCCCAACTAGTCCATTAAGAGTCTGTTCACCATTAAACTGAATGTCTCATGCCTACAATATCACCCACATATGCCAAATGAAGGAAAGGTACTATCAACAATGCAATGGAAAAACTTTATCAAGACAGCTTGGCTACAATAAAAATTATTTATGTTAACGAAGACACTACCTTAACAGCATTTCACAATCCAACAAACACCCAAGGACCTTCACTAATCAAAGTCCCACTTGTGCTCTCAAGTTTAACAACAACAGCACACAGCGTTACACATGGAAAAATCATGACAAATATGTACAATCATTTTAAGAGAACCCATTCACAAAGAATATAATCAGAACAGATAACACCAATCTGACCAAATCATGCAAACTCTGTTAAGCAAAGTCTCCAATTCAATCGACTAAGTTCCAATTGTCCAACTAACAGTCAATTAATTTGAGAGTAGCAATAATAATAGACAGTTTCGCATCTGTATATATAGGAATAGAATAACAATGTAACAATTGACAGAGAGATGGAAAGATATTCAGCAGCATTCCTTTGATCATCTAATATACAAATACATTAGTACATCAAAACACACACATACACACAGTGTTAACACACACACACTCACACTCACACATAATGTGTGTTAACATACTAGTACACAAAAAAAATCCACACACTAATACACCAAAACACACATTAATACATAAAAAACATACACAATCACACACACGTACAATAATACACAAAAAAATACACACTTACCCCAATATAGAAAAACACACGTAGAAGCAAAAACACTAATACAGTAAGTAAAATTCACATACTAATACACAAACCACATGCATACACTTTTATGCACGAAAACACACACATACACCAAAAACAAGCATATACACACACACTATTACACCAAGAAAACATATATATCCTCACTAATGCATCAAAATGCACACACACAAATACACCAAAAACATGCATATACACCCACACACACACTAGTACATTGTACACACACACACACACACACACATTAATACACAAAAAACAATCATACTAATACACCCAAAAAAAAAATGTTAATACATCAAAACACATACACACATATACTAATACTTCAAACACACACACACACACACTCCTACACACCCAACACACACTAATACACTAAAACGAACAGACCACACACACTACTACACCTAGAAAACACACACACACGCACAATTACATCAAAAATAAAACACTCTCCAATATAAAATGGACATACTAATACACCAAAACACATACACACATACTCTAGTACACCAAAACATACACACGCACGCCACCAAAACACACGTAGTAGTACATCAAAAATACACATAATACAAATAAAAATCCAGTCATACACCACATGTAATTACACTTATGCACCAAAATACACACATTAGTACATTGTAAACACACACACGTTAATACACAAAAATAACATACTAATACACCAAAAAAAACATATTAATGCATCAAAACATATACACACACATATTAATACTCCAAAACATACACTCCTACACACCCAACACACACACTAATACACAAAAACAAACACACCACACACACTACTACACCTAGAAAACAAACACACACTATTACATCAAAAATAAAACACTCTCTAACAAAAAATGGACATACCAATACACCAAAACACATGCGCACATACTCTAGTACACCAAAACATGCACACACACACACGCCACCAAAACACACATAGTAAACTAGTAATACATCAAAAAATACACACTTATGCAGCATAATACACACACTAGTACATCAAACACACGCACATATTTACGCACACATATACTCATACCCCAACACATAGTAAGTTCTAATTCAATCACGCAAACTCTGTTAAGTAAAGTCTCCAATTCAATCGACAAAGTTCCAATTGTCCAATTAACAGTCAGTTATTTGAGGGTTGCAATAATAATAGACATTTTTGCATCTGTATATATAGGATAGGATAACAATGTAACAGTTGACAGAGAGATGTAAGGATATTCTACAACAATCCTTTGATCATCTTCTTCTGAGTTCTTCAATCATATTCTTGAATCTTTCATACTGTTCAGTATTAGGAATAATGCACAAATTCGTCCTAAGAAATTTATGAATATGAGGGGATTAAAAACACAAAAAAGAAAAAAAAAAAGTCCACGATATGCACTCAGGAGAAGAGTCATGCAAGAGTCCTTGATCACAGATATTAAATAACGTCTAATAATAGAATTAGTAAAATCTAAAGTAATATCCCTAATTACACTGTCCCGTAAAGTCTGAGATGAAATACATTAAATTTCAAAAATCTCCAAAAAAGATGAAAGAATCTTTTTAGAAAAACTAACAACTAACTAAAAATTCATAAAATTTCCCAAGTCGCCAAAACAACTTCTACAGAATGACTAACCAGAGTTCGGCAAAGAACAACTCACCGGAATGCAGTTTCGACAAAGAACGACTCACCAGAATGCAGGTTTGGCAAAGAACGGTAATATGCGACCGATTATAGGTATGACTGCAGTGACCTTGCCATGGTAGAAAACTCCAGGAAAGAACTTCACTGTGTGAATGAACAGAGCGAAATTTGACCCCCGGGGCGTTGATGATGAAGCACTGATGCGTTCACGAAGTAGGCTTTGATGATGAAGCATCGTCGTCTCTCTTCCGCTCTCCCTCTCTCTCCAATTTCAAAATAGGAAAGTCGGTATGGACGGACGTTTGAGGCTGGTCCTTATTATTGAGTTTTAGACCGCCATTTCGAGCTCTGGTCCATTGTCTTTCCGAACTCGGACCGACCCGAAAGCTAAGCGTATATTGGATTCTAATAATTAGAGATGTTAAAAAACCGAATAACCGATCATCCGCCAAAACCGACCCAACAGAGTAAAACGGGCAGGTACAAAAAACACCGGTTCGGTTTATGGGAGTGATACATAAATAATTGATTAATATAAAACCCTCAAAAGCCCAAACCCTAAACTAAATCAAGATCTTCACCTCCGCCGCCTCCCTTCTCACTTAAAACCATAAACTTTATCTTCCATAACAACCATTCAACCACAACTTGCCTTTAATTTCTCCATCCCCAAGAGCAGATCTTGCTAGCCCTGGAACATAATGTCCTTAATTGTAATTTTATTCTCTCACTTTGATTATTTTGTTGAATCTAAAGTATTTTTCTTGGATTCAAACGTACTCTCCTCTCACCCGATCCGATCTGAAAATTGATCTATATATAGGATTGGTTCTTGGTTCGGTTGTTCATGATGAATGATTCGGTTCGGTTTAGAATTGCTAAAAATAAAAAAGAAAAATAAATTATCATTTAATATGCATGCAGGATGAACATCAAAATTAGCACAATTTTAAAGTGCATTTCCCTGTTATCCAAGTCGCTCATAAAATTGAAATAGGTGTCATACTCATAGATGGATGAGATTTATATATTTTCTGGCTATTTCTTTGACCTACTATTTAAAAATTAAATATTTATAAGAATTTATAGGTTGCTTGAAAAATTATAATATTATGGAAAATTATAATATATTAAAACTAATTTTATTTAAAAAATTAAATTAAGTTTTTTTTAGTTTATAAGATAGTGAAAGGGTTGTTTATATGAAGTACATATTGAGTACTAGTTGAATGAATAAAAAACAAAGAAATTAAAATTTAAAAACATTAGAAAAGATGAGAGAGGTTTCCCAAGTCCCTCATTTCTTAATTTGATTATTTTATATTCATAGATAATACATAGATAGAACTATGGTACAAAATTTATATCGCACTAAATATTTTTTGAACTGTAAAAATAATTAAGCAAAATAAACTAATTATATATATAAAAAAGATAGAGTAAACTGCACATATAATCCTCAAAGTATGGTATTTGTGTTAATTATAACCTTGATTTTTTTTTTATAAATTAAACTCCGAAACTCTCTAATTGTGTTAATTGAGTATTTTTGTCTGTCTCCGTTATAATATGTAACTCATGTGACTATATGGCACAAAAAGATCAATATATAACTCTATGACACAAAAAAATCAAAAGGCTCAATTGACACAATTAGAAAGTTGAAGGACTCAAGTAATATAATTAAAATTAAAACACTTAACGGAATAATAATCATAGTATGAGTGCTATATATATAGTTTACTCCAACTATTCCCACTTTCCGGGTTTTTGTTGATTGCCCGACTCAGCAGAGATGAATATTAGCATTACATTGTTACAGCTATTACATTACTAATATACTATACAGTTTGATATTCTGTACACATTATTGAATAGAGTTTTTTCAGTTTCTTTAATTGTTGCTTTATGTTTTATTTGTCTCCAAGTGGATTATGTGATAAATTCTGTCATGTTTAGTGAATATGTTTCTTTTCAGATTGATTTCAGTACAAAATTACAACTTGGACGGATTGCAGTCACGCCTGAACTTGGGAGGAACCTGTCAAAGTGTAGTTTAGACCAAACTTGACCAACTATAACAACCTGCCATGAGCTGGTTAAGATTTAGAGGTGTCTAACTCTGACCCGACGACACAAATCTAACACAATAAGATTAATAAATATGCATAATAAAAAATCTAGATTAATGTTTGACACTAGAAACATAATAAATAATTTTTTTTTGGTGGGTCGTAATATATACAAACACGATACAAATAACAATGATATGATACAAAAATATCGACACACAAGTCATACGACACGACACAAATTGGCACCCCTGGTTTGGAATGTGTTTCAGTGATCAGTCTATAAATACAGTAATCGCAATGTAATTACATCTGAAATGAAAGAAATTAGAGAAAATCATTTTTTGCCTAGTAAGCTGCTTATTCTTCTTCTTCTTCTTCTTTCCTGTTAAATCTGGTTTTCTTCAAAACCTTAGTCGAGCTACTAATAATATCACACAGAATCGATTTCCATTTTCGTTGAGGAGATACATGAAGAAAGCGAGACATTTATCGATGAAATTATGAGCTCGATTCTCAATACACAGAAAAAAAAAGTTACTTAGTCTTCCTTCCACAGTGGATTACTCGTGTTCTTAAGTAAGACGAACCACTTAAGCCCTTGTGTTCTTCTTTTTAATTTATTGATTTACTGCTCACTCGTCACAGTACTTCTTGATTTTTTATACCATCATTCTTCAATATATTCACTCAATTTTCTAAATGGTCAATTACTCGACATGTATTTGTAGAGACCCACTTACAAATGATCAACTTTAACCTAAAGTTATTTGGGCTGCAACTAATTTAACAAATGGGCCGCCGTTTAAGAAGGGGTACTGGCCCAAACAAATCAATCTCAGCCAAGCTTGGACAATAATTATAATTGTTTTGAAAAACAATCATCAACTCGTAACGGGCGTTGTGTCCCCCAACACCTTCCAATTCAAATTTTGCTTCACCCTTCTTGTGTACCCATGCCAGCGTCCAAACGGCAGAAAAAAGGTTTTTTGCATCAACAAATTAATATTAATGGACCCGGCAAAAACTAAGCCCAAAATACAAATGAGACCCAATTTCAGAATGCATGTCGGCCCACTACAAGAATAAGGAAGCCAGGTAAGCGCGTCATTTTAAAAGAGAGTTAGGTCAACCAACTCATGACGAGGGACTTGATCCATAATTGATAGGGTTATCTCCTTGGACGCACACATCATCACCTCCACGGAATTATCTTATATGTTACGAGAAAAACGTTATTTCTATCAAACTATCTCACTTGATATGAGAAAGACGCATCAACATGCTAGGAGACGTCTATAAATTATAAGTCTCGCCTACACAAGGGAGTATACCTTACATATCACTCACACTTGAGCATCCTACATTCCCTGAAACAATAAAATACTCAGGTCATCCTAACACTTTACATAAAAGTAAGTCACCCTGACCGAATCACTCAAATTGTATTTTACTTTTGTTGACTCTCATCATGCATTAAATACTTGACAGATGGTGCATAAACACATTTTATGCATCATCACAATTTCAATACAAGATGTTGAATAAGCGTTTAGAGTACTCCAAACAAATTTTGCAAGTGTCCGCAGGCCTACTCATTTTTGGGATCATCAAATACTTCAACTAATTATGAAGACTTACGTTATATATAATGCACAACATAATTGTTAAGGATGAATGCGACAAAAAACTTCCTCGTAATTATGATTCAAACGACAGTAAAAATGGAGAACATGTCATGTTGAGCAAATACACCTTATAATTCTAGAATTTTATTTGAAATCACTTGCACATTTGCGATAGGAGACCACGTTCTCAACTCCAAGCTGATTTGGTTGAGCACTTGTGACATTGTCATGGAGGTAGTAGTCACATATAATTTGAATTGAGTTTATGTTTTGGAATTGTACTTTTTAATTATTGTTTAAATTTGCATTAGCTAACTTTAATGAGAATTTTAGTTTCAATAAAATATATTACTTTTCATTTAAAATTAATAATATTTATTTTAATTAATCCCAAAGTATGTTTTAAAAATATATATTAAATTAATATAAAAAAAAGAGATTTAAAGATAAAGATATAATAAATTAAATTATTTTGACATATCGGTTAAGGTACGTTGAGGTGAAGATGTCAAATTCTATATGTAAAAATGCTACATAAATCTTCAAATTTAAATTGAGCATCTCAATTTTAACAACTCCATGGGAGATGCTCTTAGAGTGCAGGGGATGCATGAGTGGAGAATCTTGGAAATTAAACATGTGTTCTTGGGCAAGTACTGTTTTTGGATTCCTAACTATAGTGTTCATGTCTATTTCACAACCCTATCACTAGTGCCATTACCCATTGAAGATGACCACCACAACAATTTTAGGTTTTCCAAACACTTTCTACACACAAAGACTAAAGAGGCTTATCTAAAATGCAACCCCTCATTGTCATTGCTAAACAACCAGCAGCTTCCCAGAATCAAGGGGCTTTGTTTTTGTTTGGAGACCTCAAAGTGGGGTCTAACTATGGTGCAAAAATAATTTTTCGAATACTTTTTTCCTTCAATTACTTTTTTAATGGATTATCTACCATTAACGAGCGAAGAGTTCACGTATATACCATAGGTCCCACTTAAATGTGTTGCAGGTGATCAACCAATAAAAAAATTGAAGAGAAAATGTATTTGAGCAAATCTCTCTATTTTTCTGTATCATGTCTCTACTTTTTATTGAATAAGGAGACTATTTGATGCTAACCCAGATCTCCAGCGACTATTTTTTTTTGTCTACTCTGAAATCACAGTAATGCCACAGCCGGCTACTTTACACAAACCGTTGAAGTTTGACTTTATTACACTAAAAAAACAAGATTATTTATTTCATGGGTTAAATTGATAAGATTTGAATCTCTCTGCTGATACCAAAGAAAAAAGTAAGTCGGGTCTACGGTCATGATCAACTTTCTGAACTTTCTTGAAGACAATCCAGAACAAGGATACAAGGATGTATCTCCAGAACCACAGTATCCTTCAAAAATTGACCTTTAATATGGAAAATACCAGAAGGGGCAGCGAGGAAATTTCACCATCAAATCCTACCTTGAGCAAAAGAAAAATCCTATTGTGTATCTTCTTCTTCTGTAATGACACCACAACTTGACTTCAATTTCTCCGTCTCCATCAGTAGATCATGTTAGCCCTAGAAGACAGTAGAAAAGAAAAAGAAAAAGATGGGATATATAGGGTCGGTTCTTGGTTCAATTATTCATAATGAATGGTTTCGGTTTGACTTAGAATTGCTAAAAAAAAAGGGAAAATAAATTATGATTAATTATGCATAATGAAGATAAAAATTAGCAACAAATTTAAAGTGCATTACTTTGTTATCCAAGTTATTCATAAAATGAAAATAGGTGTAAGACTCATGCGATGAATAAGATTTATATATTTTCTCATTCATATATTTTTTGGCTCTAAAATTTATCCTCTAATTGCGAATGATACTGTTTACTACCGATTTGAGTGAAATGGCTGGTGGTAATGATGTGTGGTAAGATCGCTGCTAACAAATGGTGGGTGCGTAGAGAAAGCTATGGATTTGAGCTCAGATTTTCCTCTAAAATTTCTCCCATTCCTCTTTCCATTGTTCCGCCGACTACATTGATTGAAAACTGCTGGGTCTGCCTACACAGAAAGTATACCGAGACTTATTATTTAAAAATTAAATATTTATAAAAATTTATTGGTTGCTTGAATTCAAAATATTATGGAAAATTGTTATATATTAAAACTAATTTTATTTAAAAAATTAAAATAAGTTGTTGTTAGTTAATAAGATAGTGAAATAGTTGTTATATGAAATACATGTTGAGTATTAGTTGAATGAATAAAAACAAAGAAACTAAAATTTAAAAACATTAGAAAAAATGAGAGAGGTTCCTCAAGTCCCTCATTTCTTAATTTGATTATTGCATTTTCACAGGTAATACATCGATAGAACTACAGTACAAAATTTATTTGTATCGCACTAAATTTTTTTATAATCACAAAAATAATAAAGCAAAATAAACTATATATATATATATATATATATATATATATATATATATATATATATATATATATATATATATATATATTTATATAATAGACATATTTTATTTTAACTAATAAAAAATAGAGTAAATTACACATATAACCCTCAAAATATGACATTTGTGTCAATAAAATCTTTTATTTTTATTTTTTGTCAATTAAGCTCCATAACTCTCTAATTGTATCAATTGAACTATTATGTCTGCTTCCATTAGAGTATATCACTCATGTGACTATAGGGCACAAAAAAAAATGTCTAAATTGACATAATTAGAGAGTTCGGGACTCAATTGATATAATAAAAAAAGTTAAAGTATTTAATTGACACAATAGTCATAGTTTGAGAGCTAAATATATAATTTACTCCAACTATTCGCCACTTTCTATTGATGGGTTTTTGTTGATTACCCGACTCGACAGGGATGAATATTAGAGTTGCGTTGTTACAACTGTTACATTACTAATATACTACACAGTTTGGTATGTCTTAGATGAAAAAATCCTTTTAGATGTTTTCATATTTTAGCCTTGTTTTCAAAGCAGAACAATTAAAAAAAATGAAAATATTTATCAAATGTCTTTTTATTTTTTATTTTTTTGCCATAAAATGAAAGCAAAAATAAAAAAAAAACAAAAAAATAAGGTTATCAAACGCTACCTTAGATTTCCATTCAATTACAAAGGGAAAAAGAAAAGCAGCTAGTTCCTAGTAAGCAACTTCATGTTACACTCTTGCGAGCGGGATGTTTTCGTCAAGAAGTCTGAAGTGGTGGATATGATATTGCCTCTCTTTGTTTGAAAGTCTAGAAGTGGTGGATGTTTTCATGTCACACTTGAACTCTTGGCTTGTTGCGACTCTAAGAAAAGAGTAATGCTATTGTGACCTAAAAATTTGATTTAATTTGTTGATTTAATTTAATGTGATTTTTGGATTGGTTGTACATCCCATCAAACATTAGAACTTGGTGTTGATCTAATGATTCCTGTTAAACCACATCATTATATCAATAAATTAAGTCAGATTTTTAGGTCCAAATAACATGACTCCTAAGAAAATATGAACGTATCTTTCTCAAGTATGTATTTAATTTATTTGTATGTTTTTAGCTAAGGTTTGGAAGTTCCATCACTTGAATTTACCATTCAAATGGCTCAAGGCTTAAATCTCAACCTTTCTTTGTGGAGTTACTGCAGCTTATTGATGCTGTTTCTCGGATGGTGAGGTTAGATTTTGAATCCTATTGTGAAGCTGTTGTTGATGGCTCAAAGCTACTTTTTCTTGATCAAAGCTACTTGAGTAAGCTCTTTGACGATGGATATGCTAAAGGTAAATCCCTGGAACCATAAGCTCCATGGTCCTGCATGGGTTACTACTGATTGCTATACCAAATAACTATTTCGGGAATATGGATCATTATTTAGCTACAGTAAGCTCCATGCATTGGGCCGGGTCTTCTCCAGGTTTGTTTACTCTTACGGTTGGAATTGTCAATAAGATTTTTGTTGGCCTTAGATTAGACTTGAACCTTGACTAATTAAAGAAACAAATAAGTGACAAATTGAGAATACATGAAAAGTTCTGGAACTATATATTTTTCATTCTATCTCACTTAGAAAAGTCTCTTACAAGCTTTATATAGATACTCTACATATTTTAGAAAAGTCTCTAACAAACTTTATTTAGACACACTTAAATATAGACACTCCATATATTCTAAAAATGACTTTTACAAGTTTTATCTAGACACATTCAAATAATTCTAGAATTTTCTATCTTTGGGCCTAATTAAATATAACAAAACATGACTCAAACACACACTAACATTTTATGACCCAATTTCAAACATAACATTTTTTAGCCCAAATACAAAATAACACAACAAAGTATTAACTTTAACACTCTTCCTTAATGTTTTGTTGTATGACACCCAACATTTCCCGAAAGTATTGAAACTTGTCCTGCAGAAGTGCTTTGGTGAAGATGTATGCCACTTGATCCTTTGTCTTGTAATACTTGAGTTGAATCTCATCATCTTCCACGACCTCTTGGATAAAGTGGTGCTTGATTGCAATGTGCTTGGTTCGACTATAGTGGACGGGATTCTTTGTCATTGCTATCGCGGATTTGTTATCATACAAAATTGGAGTAGGCTCTCCTTGCTTCTCACCAACATCTTCCAAGATTCTCCTTAGCTATATTGCTTGTGATGTTGCCAATGATGCTAAAACATATTTGGCTTCGGCGGATGATTGTATTATCGTTTGTTGTTTTTTAGATATCCATGAAAAGACACTCGAGCCAAGAGAAAATGCATAACCGGAAGTGTTATTCATATTCATATCATCCAATTAACTTTGCATCCACATTTTTTTCAAACAAAATCCCATAATTAAGGTTACTTGGATGTATCTCAAAACTCTTTTGGCCGCCCCAAAATGAGTTTGACTTGAACTATGCATAAACCAAGATAATAAACTTGCTTATTTTGAGGCATATAGTCTGCATATTATGTAATTAGTTACTTCTTGTACAACAATCTATATTTATAATTTAATTTCTAATATAAAACAGAGCATGTTTCAATAAGTTTATCCGACGATGTCAAATAGACTCATCCAACGGCCACCAACATCACTCTCAAAATCATTCACATTGCATCATGCGTTCAGGCACAAATTATCTATAGTAATTAGATATAGGAAGCAGGTTTATGTAAATCATTCCAGCCATGGGACCCCATTACCTTTTCTTGTTGCTCTGTTCTATTTTCAAAATTTCAACATCTACCAAGGAGGCATTCTGGTAAGAAGGCTGACCACTACATAATTTGCCATTGGTCTAGGAGAGAAGCAAGTTACCAATGTTTGATCCACAATCTCGGGCAGGGAAGGGAACCAAAATGGACCCCAGATGGTGGTTGTTGTAGGTAACCGAGCTGCATTCACATACTGGAGTGATTCGAAAAGAACGATTAGGATTATATTTTATACTTTCTACAATGGCCAAGGACAAAGTGCTTTATTCCAGATCTATAGCTTTCGGTTCAAAGCCATAAACTTTCCATCAGATGACAATGCTAATCTTTATTCTTCTTCTTGTTGAATCCAATATGATGAATCTCTCTTCCTTAGCGTCTCTTTGGTCTTAGAATCCCAGCTTCATTAATTTATCAAAAATTGAAAAGGAAAACTTATGGCAAATCAATAAGGTTGGACACGATACCATGATCAGTCAATGTTTCTTCGCATTTGAAACGCTCAAACTACCATTTGAGCAAGGACTCTTTGCGCAGACTCAAGGAATTCAAAGGATTGGAGGGGATACAGATTTGATAAAAGTCATAAGCAAGTGTTTTAGCTGCAAAAAGATTACAATCCACGCATGCACTAATACTATTAAAAAGGTACTTGCTACTTAGTTACAAATGGAAGCTTCATTAACAAAGGAACCATTTGTATCCAACAAACAGAAGTAACGTATGGTATCTGCATCACCATTCGAAACATAGTACCAAACTTGCATTGAATGCTACTCACAAGAGTAGCACTATTCAAATGAGCCTAATGAATGTTTGAATGCCTTGCAGAAATTCGACTAAAATCCTTAGTTCACATTCATCCCTCAACAAACAACTCAACTACTAATTTAATAAATAAAACAGAGAAAAACAATCACAAGCACACCAAGATTTATATTGAAAAATTCTCCATTTTACAAAGAAACAACCATGGGGCAAACTTCAAATCAATCCACTATAATTGACAAGTTACAGTGCTTTGTTAATCTCAAGATTGTGCCTAAATCTTGAGACCAATACAACCCCAATGCACTCCAAGCTGAGATATAAAGATAGATTACAATAAAGATGGCCATAGTATTCCACCACAAGCATCACTGCATTACAAGAGCAATAACAACATGCATACCATTGCTCCTGCTACAAATTTTATTTCATCCATAAGCCAAGGCTGCCTGAAGAAATCTTCATCTTTGCACCTTATTCCTAACAAAATTGTCAAACGTTGAATATAAGAAAATATAATCGCAAAGATGAACACAAACAAATGGGGAACACATTGGTAATTTCATATACTAACCAACAGATTAGGAAGACCCATTTATTTTTTTATAAAAAAAATAAAATATTAGAAGGAAGCAGTGCTAATATAGGAAAAATAATATTGCTACCACCGATGAGCAAATTTACAAACTTGTAGTCTCTTTCGACTGAATCTCCGTCAATGCTCTTGCTCTCCATGGCCGATCATTCATAATGTATGGGACACCCATTTATATATGGTGAGTCTCACTAAAAATCCACTATCAATGAAAATCAAGAAAAATGTTCATGGTAGGTGATATGAATCTCATTCTCTTTACTTTCCGACTAAAAGTATGAATCAGTTTTTGGTTGGAGATGCATGTGCTTGGAATTGAAGAACAAGAAATTTTAAAAATGTGACCCACAATAGAGAATATTTTTAGCATAATGTCATGGGATAAAATCAAAGTAGATGTTCATAATTATTTTCGAATTAAGAAGGGGTGGGTAATATAGTGTCTTACCGTCTTGCAATAGATTCAAGACAAGTTTTTGAATTGCCATGTCTCAGACGCTGATTTGTAATAATGATGGATATTAGGGATATGTCGAACTTTTTAACGACCCACACTCTGTTCACCATGTATCTGATGGATGAGCTCACTTGAAACGGTAGCCAAGTCCAATGTTTGGAGATTCGTGAGATATTCAATGCCATGAGGCAATGTCTTCAACTCCATACATCTTTCTACAATAAGTTGTTCGAGATCTGGCATCACTCCCCTCTCTATTGTTATCTCTTTCAGTTGCGGGAGATTGGCTACATATAAAAACTTCAGCTTTTGGAACCCAGCATCAAACAGTAACTCTTTTTTTCAGAATATGCATTGTCAAGTACAAGAATTCCTAAACAAGGCAGCGCTTGGATGAAAGGAAAAACATCTTGTGTCAGTCTAGACCAATACAACCGCAAATACACGAGGCTTCGAAGTGATTGAAACCAGTGTGGCACCTTCTCTAATTTCCCCGCTAATAGCAGAGATTTAAGGTGTGGAGGAGCTGCAGTGAGCACATCCATTCGCAAGGTTTCTGCCTCATCTTTCACCATCACATTTAACCAACGAAGGAGATTCATACTTTGGATTGCGGTGCACAAGTCTTTCTCATCTGCTTCTCTTACCTTTGTAATGCTAAACCTTGGAAGCTGTGTCATGCTCCTAATGCGTCTCATTAAATCTGATTCTGCTTCAACACAACTCAGGACTTGCAAGTTCTTTAACTTGTAAATATTTGGCGGGGTTCGTATTCCAAAATAATATTCAAAAACTTCAGTTCCATGAGGGGAGTAACGGAACATCACTAGATAACGCAAGTTCTTCAAATTTGTTATTCCTGTTGGAAGCACTTCTATTCTTGTACGGGCAATGTCTAGTGTTTGTAGGTTGGAGAGCCTTCCAATTGATTTTGGAAGCTCCTTCACATTAGTCAGCCTTGGGCTTAAATATCGCAAATTGAACAGATCCACTAATTCGTCTGGCAATTTCTCAATTGGTGCGCCTTCTAAATCCAATAACCTTAACCAATGTTATTAGAACCGGACAGGTCATCCAACCGATAAGGGGACCGGGTCGATGATTCACTGATTCAACCGTTGGATCAACTGGTCTGACCGGTCATATAATAAAAAAATAAAAAAATATATATAATAATTATAAAACTTAATAATTTAGCTAAAAAATATAAAATATGTATAAAATACATAAAATTTATCATAAAATTAATGAAATTAAGTAACAAAGTGGAAGTTATTGTATTTTAAAGCAAAGTAAAGAGGTTCAAGTAAATTATAAAGAAAAAGAAGGGGTGTCATTTATAATTTTTTCAAGAATAAGGTTAAAAAAAATCAACTATTTACTGATTTAGGGCAAAAAAATTTATTTATGTAATTTAATTTTTAAATAGGCATTAAACCGTCCGATTTTTATAAAACCGGCAGTTCATGATTTTTGTTAAAAGTCTGCCGATTTTTCAATTTTTAGCCGGTTCGTTTCCTTAAGCGGTTCAACTAAAGAACCGGACCGGTTAGGGTCCCAATTCACGGTTGAACCGGTTCGACCGACCGGTCTGGTCCGGTTATAATAACACTGCCCTTAACAATCTTAAGCCAGTTAGCAATGTTACCAACGATGGAGAAATCTTGTAATCAATGAACACAAGAAGTGAACGGAGCTTTGACATGCCCTTTAATGATTTTATTTGCTCTGTTATTGTTCGGATCGGCAAGCGACGTGCTCCACTTTCTTTACTTGTTTCTTGATCATCATACAGAGCACCAAAATTCTCGGTTGCCACTATTGAAAGAGCAATTTCCCGTAAAAGATCATGCAGCTTACATCTTTTTGGCCTTCCTGATGGTTCCTCCTCACAACTTGAAGCATGTTTCGGTGACTGAGTTCTGATGAGTCAAGCCCAAGAAGAACTCAATTTATTTGGAAAACTCAAACTCCAATTGAAGAGTCCAGTCTTATAAAGACCCACTAAGCCCAATATTGTCCAAGTTTAGTCTCATCAGTTCGGCTACTTTATCAAGAGAGAGAGAGAGTACGGGAGCCTTACCTACACCGCCAAAGAAACAACCCACCCTCACTTTATCCTTGACCATATCTCATGGAGGGTATCTCAATCACCTCGCCCGTTGAGAAGAAGTCGTGAGCTCCACTGAAATAGTTGCTTAATTGTTGTAAAATAGCTCCAACCTGTTAGGGGGCCACTATAAATTGCACGCCCCACCAATACTTGGGGGGCATCACACATCACCTGAGCACAACTCTCTCCTCTTCCTCAAAGTTTGTATTCTCTGCTCTCCACACCTTGAGTTAATAAAATACCCGGCATCCAGAGCCATTGAAGAGTAGACGTAGGTCAGGCTGACCGAACCACTGTAAATTGTCTGTGTCTCTCTATCTCTTGATTTTATTTTCTTGCATTTATTATTCACAGTTGACAGGTGGTGTGCAAAACTATTTTGTGCATCATCAGTTTGGCGCCGTCTGTGAGAACTCGACAAAATTCTCACTCTTAAACGTTCCATTTGTTGAACTAATGGCGATCACTACCAGATCCATGAACCAACACAAAGACAAATCCACCACGAGAGGAGGAGGTTGCTCCTCCACCCACCAACCCTGTCTCAAATGCTCCAGCTCCAAATCCATAGCAAATGCTGGAGACCATGCAACAGCTAGTGGCCCAAAACCAACAAATACTGCAACTCATGATCGCTGGACAAGGAGGAGTACAACTTAGAGGTGCACAGCATGAAGGACACCAAGGAACTCCACGCCCTAGACATCAAGAAGCTTCACATCCTGCTGCTCCATACCCAAGCGCCCCCTTTGGAGTCCCCTTGGGCGCCCCATATAAGGAAGCCCCTCATGAGGGAGTTCCACCTCCTTCTCCTCCTCCTGCTTCCCGTGGTGACGACCCTCATCTCCAGGAAGATGAGGGTAAGGGTGAGAACCAAAGCATGGATCATGGGAGTCATTTTCATGATCATTCCAAGGGAGTCTCAAATCATTGGGACGAGAAAATCAAGAAAGTATAAAATCAACTGGGTGATGTCTTCAACGCCATGAAGGCATAAGGACCTGAGATAGTGGACTACCTGGTAAGGAGTACAGACACGCCTTTCAAACCTGACGTGGCGAACTACCCCCTCCCTCAGAAGTTGAAAATACCATCCGTGGAAAACTTTGACAGAACAAAAGATCCACTAGACCACCTCGACACCTACAAGACTTTAATGCAGTTGTACAACGTCTCAGACGAAATCATGCGCAGGGTGTTCCCAACCACATTGAAGGGATCCGCACGATAATGGTTCGCTAAGCTCCCCCCAGCCTCCATCGCTTCCTTTGTTGAGCTGAGCAGGTCATTCGTATCACATTTCATTGGGAGGCGTTGCCACCAGAAGCCTGTCACCCATCTGCTTAACATAAAGTAGGACAGGGAGGAGAGCCTAAGGAGCTACCTTACTCGTTTTAACAAGGAGGTACTCCAAGTTGATGAGCCCGTTGATAAAGTGACGATGACTACTTTCTTGGGAGGCCTCCACTCGTCAAGCTTCCTTTTCTCAGTGATGAAGCGTCCACCAAAGAGCATGTCAGAACTGCTAGCAAAGCCCTAGATATACATGAATGCTGAGGACATTACTAGGGTCAGGCGAGGTGAGTCCTCTAGAACAGCAGGGGAAAAGAGGAAGGAAAGAGAGAGAGAAGACAAGAAGGAGACTAGCAACAAGCGCAACAGAACAGAGAGGGTTCCTGTCAAAGACCGACTAGGTCCTATTCCTCAGAGGGACCGACAAGCCTTCACTCCCCTCAATGCCACTGTTGGGCACATCCTATTCCAGATCCAGGATGACCTCGCTATAAAGTGACCAGGGAAGATAAAGTCTCCACCAAATTGCAGAAATCCTAACAAGTACTGCCGTTTCCACTGCGACCATAGACATGACACCGATGATTGCTATGACCTCAAAAGACAAATTGAGGAACTCATCCACCGTGGCCACCTACGCTAGTATGTGGCTGGTAGAGAATGAGCACCACCACCTCACAATCATAAAGACCAGCAGCCCGTGGGGGAGATCTACACCATCTCGGGAGGACTAGTAGAAGGTGGAGAATCACTCTCTGCAATAAAGAAGGGTTAGGTGTTGGCGGACTTTATAGTAGAGTTTTCAGGGGAACCTCCCGTTCCAGAAAGACCGTCTCCTCCTGGCATAGCGTCCCCAAAGAATTGTAAGGGATCACCATGGCTTTTATGTGTGGACGGTTCCTCGAACAGTAAGGGGTCCGAAATCGGTATCTTGCTAGTCTCTCCAGATGGAATGGTCGCAGAGCAGGCCGTTCAGCTGGGATTCAAAGCATCCAATAATGAAGCTGAGTATGAGGCCCTCATCTCAGGACTTCGGTTAGCCGAGGCAACTGAAGTTACGGACTTAATCGTACAGTGCAATTCTATGCTGGTAGTCAACCAAGTTAACGGAGAGTTTGATACAAGGGCCCCTGGGATGAAGGCTTACCATCACAAGGCGACAACTGTAATCCGCAAGTTTGGAAAGATTGAGATCAAGCAAGAATTCCGAGACAAGAACGCGCATACCGACGCCCTGGCTTGCCTAGCCTCAGCACTAGAGTCCTCTCAGTCGCGCAGAATCACCATAGAATACCTTTCCATCTCCAGCATAGACCAAGCACCCGAGGCAATGGCCGTCCAGGACACACACAAGTCGCCTACCTGGATTGATCATTTTCTCAGGTTCCTGGTAACAGGAGACCTCTCGGAGTGTTCGAAGGAAGCCAGGAAGATAAAACTTAAAGCCCCGAGATTTTGGATCTCTCCGGATCAGAAACTATATCGAAGGTCTTTCTTAGGACCTTATCTACTATGCGTCCAGGAGGATCAGGTGGAAGACCTCCTCTATGAGGTATACGAAGGAATATGCGGGGGGCACTCTAGGGGGCGATCCATGGCACACCGCATCATGTCTCAAAGATATTGGTGGCCGCAGATGCAAAGGGACACACATGCATATGTCTAAAAATGCGGCAAATGTTAAAGGTTCTCCCCGACAATCAAACAACCCGCGGGGGACTTGCACCCCTTGACCAGCTCTTGGCCATTCGCCTAGTGGGGGCCCGACTTAGTTGGACCCCTGCCTAAGGCTCTTGGAAATATAAAGTTCCTCATTGTGGCGACGAATTATTTCACCAAGTGAGTTGAGGCAGAGCCATTGACTTACATCCGCGACATAGATGCAAAAAAATTTGTTTGGGAAAACATAGTCATCAGATTTGGGATTCCCCGAGCACTTGTATTGGATAACGGGACTCAATTCACTGACGGGAGTTTCAAATCTTTTTGCGAGTAACTCGAGATCCGTAATTTCTATTCCACCCCTGCCTACCCCCAAGCCAATGGGCAGGCAGAAGCCTCCAACAAAACAATTATCAATGGGATCAAGAAGAGATTAGAGAAAGCTAAGGGAAAATGGGCGGATGAACTATTGAACATTTTATGGGCATGTAGAACCACCACTTGGTCCTCGACAGGGGAAACCCCTTACTCCCTGACTTACGGAATGGAAGCAATCATACCTCTGGAAGTGGGGCTCCCAACCATAAGGATGCAAGCCTTCGACATAGGGGGAAACGACTGTCAACTCGAACTGGATTTGGATCTAGCAGAGGAAATAAGGGAGATAGCCGCCTTGAAAGTAGCCAAGTATCAGGAAAAGATTTTCCAACTTCACAACAAAAGGGTCAAGGCGTGGGAGTTCTGAATCGGCAATCTGGTCCTCTGAAGGATAATGGCCAATACCAGTGACGCAGCAGAAGGAAAAAT